AGACAGATAGATAGATAGATAGATAGATAGATAGATAGATAGATAGATAGATAGATAGATAGATAGATAGATAGATAGATAGATAGATAGATAGATAGATAGATAGATAGATAGATAGATAGATAGATAGATAGATAGATAGATAGATAGATAGACAGACATACAGACAGACAGACAGACAGACAGACAGATAGATAGATAGATAGATAGATAGATAGATAGATAGATAGATAGATAGATAGATAGATAGATAGATAGATAGATAGATAGATAGATAGATAGATAGATAGATAGATAGATAGATAGATAGATAGATAGATAGATAGATAGATAGATAGATAGATAGATAGATAGATAGATAGATAGATAGATAGATAGATAGATAGATAGATAGATAGATATATAGACAGACATACAGATAGATAGATAGATAGATAGATATATAGACAGACATACAGATAGATAGATAGATAGATAGATAGATAGATAGATAGATAGATAGATAGATAGATAGATAGATAGATAGGAGGTATCACTGATCCCTTCACCTGTTTGTCGAAGGCCACCCATGCAGGTAGATCGCTGCCCTCTCCTTTGGGGTAGACAGAAAACTTTGGTTTGATCTCCTGGCCGAGTAGCAGCTCTCCTCCGATGCCCGGCTTCTCGGTTCCCACCAGCAAAGGGACTCCGTTGGAATAATCAAAATGTTGGGATTTGTGGAACCTGTCCTTCCCCAGCTGCTGACAGAAAGGAGAACATGTGTCAAGAATGATCACTTCCTATGAAAAAAGGTGAGTAATATGGGCAAAAAAGTGATGTTTCGCTGGCACTCACCTGACCGTACATCAATAGCAACACAGCTTAATGAAAGTGCACTTAATGGAAGATATCATCAAAAGTCAATGTAAAGACGGACATGTTGTTAAACTAATGTAGTTACTTATTAAGGATTACCAATTTGACAGGTGCTGCACCGATTTAATTGTGACTTTTAACAAAACTAACATGTTTATTTAGGATTTAAGATCTTGTACTTGAGTAAAAGTAGAAGTACTCAAATGTTGTACTTGAGTAAAAGTAGAAGTATAGATCTTGTACTTGAGTAAAAGTATTAGTACCAGAGTGTATGAATACTCTTACATTTACTAGTTGATTATAATTCACATAATTAATCCAAATCTGTAAAGTAACTAAAGGTATTAAATACATGGAGTAAAGTACTCAATTTACCTCTGAATTGTAGTGCAGTAAAAGTACACAGTAGCATAACATGGAAATACTCAAGTAAAGTACAAGTAGCCTACCTCAAAATTGTACTTAAGTAAATGTGCTTAGCTACTTTAAACCACTGCATAAGTAGGCATGAACATGTTATTAATACAATAATTGTGTTGTATCAGCTATTAACCTTCAAACATTAAGGCAGCTTGTTTAATTTCTTAATGGCTATACACATCTAACTAACTAATTAACTAACTGACTAACTGACACACAACACTAGTTAGCTCAGGACCTAGCATGATACCTAGCTTGCAATTAGGTTAATTACACTTAGCTAGCATCTAAATATGCTGTAAATCTAATAAAGTGAATAAAGCTAACCCCAGCTAAAGTAAACACCCGTTAATTCTGTTATATTACCTGTCTATTTCGGGAATTCCCGGGTAGAAATGGTAATGCCATGGCGTTATTTTGTAAAACCGTCTGATTATCTGCCGTTCATTTAAAAAACAAACCGTTTGTTATGGTTGCCATGGAAGCGTTCTGTTTGGGAGCGTCTCCTAGCAACGTTTAGGCCGGCAAACTATTGTTGATTATTGTTTTTATTTATATTTTTACAATAATGAGGTTTAACATAGGAAACAATAACAGAGACTTTGTACACACCAAGGCACAACTACGGATCAAATATTAGCATGTTTTAGTACAAGCAAAAATGTAACGTTGTCTCAAAAATACACAGAAAACTATTTAATTGTTTGTCTTTTCACTGAATCTGCTAACCCTGTAGCTGGATTCATTCAAATACTCAAATACATTATATTTCGTTTCATTAACGTTTTGTATCCAAAGTGACCAACTATAAGTGCAATAAACCACGAATCCTAAAAGTATAAAACTTCAAATAAATAGGCTACATTATTATTATTCTCTACTCTGTTGCTGTATTATAAATTATATTATTTGTCAAGGTGAATAATTAGTGTAATTGCAGTAAATACAGAGTAACCTGCCTACCTTGTTTTTCCATTTCCATTGTATTCTTTCTACTGTAGCCTATACTTCATTTTGGAGGCTAATACTGTTTGTTTTTTTATTCCACTGAATGTATTTCCTTTACAATTATATAGTCGCTTTACCTTTACATCCACATTTCCATATGCAGCTTGTAGAGGGGTATTTTTTGTATATTGTGGTATTTTTGATTAAGTAAAGAAGCCAAGTAATGAGACAACAAATTAAAGGCAAAACATTGACCAGAAATTAAAACCTGTTTGATTTGTTTGGCATTCAAAAGCCTAACAGGGTTATCATTTCATAGGTAGTAGTACACATAGTTTAATGCTGTCTTTAATTATAGGCTCATGCTGTGAGTGAAAGTAAAGCCAAACTCAGATACTAAACACAAAACATGACTGAAGACAACCAAGATTCAAGGTCAAGAGGGAAAAGCAATTCATGTACATCATTTATCATAAAATAAACGCAAAATATTTTAAGAGCTTTTCTTACTTTTATTTGTTCATCAAACGTACATTATAGACAAACCACAGCTTCCAGTACTTAAAGCTTCAATGTATTGCTAAACAAACACATAGAAAAGGAGATGCAGGGGAGGCTGACATTAACACCCATCGAACAGGTCCTGCAGCACCTTTCAAAAACATACTTCTCTCAAACCCATCAGCACTCTAACCCCGGAGAGGATTGATCACCATGGAGTTCAAAATATAACCTAAAGGCACCACCCGCCACCTGAAGGTGAATTGAATTATACTTCATTACGCTGCATGTGCTTGGCTTTATGTTTGCAACAAGGCAGCGAAAATGACATATACTCTTTGTTTTAGGAACAAGTTTGTCAAGCTAAATAAATAAAAACAATTCTAATGGCTTTTCCCCTTAGAAAACAACATTTTGCATGATATGCATCATTATTTGGCCTGGGGAGCGGAGCGTTTTAAGAGGGTCTGTCAAAGAAGTCCCACATTATATATCGACCATGCTTTAACAGTATTAAAGGAGACAAAAAGGAGGTGCAGCGTATGTAGAAACACAGCCACAAGCTAATCTGAAGTAGGTTGCTTGCTGTGGAAACTCTTTAAAACCTTCCAGCAATGATTGATAAAGTTTCCCTCAAGTGTTTCCACGACATCGAGGGAGCACCGACTCTTCTCCTTTGGAGGAAACTAAGACACCATGCCGAGCAGGAAGCCTCCGGCGAATCCGCTGGTGACTACAATGTTCTTCTTCACGAACGCTGTGGACTGGAACACACAGAAAACACGTTTCAGTTTAAAGGAAATCCATTCCAGACAGACATTGATTTACACTAAATGCAATACAGCGGAAATAGCCTTTGCATTAAGACGATATCAGGCTGCAGCTGCTGACTAGGTTCATATGGTGATGGTAAAACATCAAGGAATCAACTTCACTGAGTAACAGCAGTGTCTTCAAATCTCTTGTTTTGGTTCACCAAAAGTCCAAACACCCAGAAATATGTACCGTAATTTTTGGACTATAAGCCACGCCTTTTTTCCCTTTTTTCAACCCTGCGGCTTATATAACGGTGCGGCTAATCTATGGATTTGTACAGCTAACGGCCACTAGGGGACCTCCTAAATCTATGGATGTTACAGGTTACAGTCCACCACCTTTAACTCTATGGGCTCTATGGCCGGTCCGCGCCCCCCACCTTTAAGCGGCGGGCTCCAGCAGGAAAAGCTGGAGGCCGGAAAAGAGTGAGACAGGTAGCGCGCAAAAGTAAAAGTGGAACCGAGAGTGGTACGAGAGACAGAACGAGAGCAAGACAGACAGACATTACGAGAGCGAGAGAGTTTGTCCCCGTACCACTGGTTGAAAACCACTGCTGTAGATCACTGCCGGTACGTGCGCTGGGAGCGCACCGTTTAAGTTTGAAAGTTGAAAAGTTTGTGTGTCTGAAACGCTATGTGATACAGTACAGTTTACACAGCACATGTTCTGTAGCTACTATTGCACTAAATGCTAACACTTGAATACGTTATGCAAATATGCAACTTGTTTGTTGATGGATGGATGGATGGATGGATGGATGNATTGTTAAACATTAAGTTGTGCATACCATGAACGAAACAAATAAAAATGAAATGGAATATAAAATTACTCATCATATCTTAGTGACGTGTGCCCAAAGTGCACACGTCACTAAGATATGATGAGTAATTTTATATTCCATTTCATTTTTATTTGTTTCGTTCATGGTATGCACAACTTAATGTTTAACAATTATTTACAAAACATGTCTCTATAAACACACCGTACCCGAAAAGGAGATTTTATTATTTGTTTTTATATTACCTGCCCCTTTCTCAAAAATAAATAAACAAATAGAAGTAGATGGTCTGTCCTTCATATTTTCTTATTCGCAGCCAATCACAACAGTATCGTAGGAAAATAAGAGAAACACAAAAACGTACAAAAAAATACATAATACCCACTCGACAGTTAACGGAAAGAAACACAACACCAAAACATCACATGAACAAGTGAAGTGCAACACCCTCATCCATTCCTGTGTTGTGTTTTCCTCGCGACAGGAACCTTGATCCGTCGGCAGCGTGTCCCCCTGCCCCCCCCAGATGATGACCAGTTCTACAACATTTTCCATTTGAACCTGAACCAACAGATGGTGCTGTACGCGCGCACTTTCACTGTGACCAACTGTGACTCCTTCACCAGGAACTTCCTCACTAAACTGGGGGTGATCCTGAATAACCCCGCCACTGCACCTGACGACCCGCACAGCTGCCTGCTGGATAAGGTGGGTGTCACACTCCTAGCTTCCTTTTCTCATAAAAACAACAATGACACAATGAAGTACAACACCTGACCTAGAAACTCCCCTGTTCACCATGACCTTTGACCCCTAACCCATCACAGTCCCCCTGCTTCCACTCCTACTGCTATTTATTTAATTTGTATTTTTTAAACTTTATTATTTGCCCCTTTTGTTTGTTTTTTTGTTTGTTTGTTCACCATATCAAGCGGCCTTGGGTCTTTTGAAAGGCGCTATACAAATGTAATCTATTATGATTTTTATTATTACGCCTCATATGGTTTCTTAGCAAAATAATAGCAAAGAATATAACCAAAAGTGAGAAAATGTGAAGGCTATTTCCAAATAATGATTTAGAACACATGTTTGATCAGGAACACAACTACAACGATTTAATAATAATTAATTCACTCTAGCTTTCAAACAAACAACCGAACCCCTCTTTACTCGCACTTGGATTAGGACTACTGTTTATGTGTTTTGCTTTCTTTGTCCTTTTTCACTTTCTGATTTGATGTAAAGTGCATTTGAGCACTAGGAATAGACTATACAAATCCAATGTATTATTATTATTAGATATTAATACACGAATACTGTGGACAACACCCACAAGAGCAATTTGGGGTGGAGTGTCTGGCCCAAGGACACACATCCGAATCAGAATACCTTTATCCGTCCCACAGAGAGGACATTTACATTGTTACAGCAGAAAAGAGCCACAGCAGCTTCATTTGTTTGTTTGTTTGTTTTTCAAAAACAAATGTATTTCTTTAACCCTCCGGTATCATTCGATTGGACAACGCAAATGAGTCATTCGGGACAAAAATGTCCACTGCCAAAGACTTTGATAAAAACATTACATTTTTTCACAACTTTTTTGGGTTCGATCTTAAAGCTACTTCAGCTCTAATCAAAAATACTAAAAATGTAATCATTTTCAGGATTTTAACCCTTTAAATGCCATTTTGAAAACATGAAATCGCTGTTGTTTTTCATGATAAAAACAGAAAAAATTAGTTATTTTCCATATAACACATATCTGGGGATTGGCTCTTTTTTTTTATAACAGTCTTGGATATGTCAAAGATTACCAACAACATTTTTTTTTTGCATTATTAATTTTTGCACAGAATCAGATTAAACAAAAAACTCACACATTAGTCATTCGGGACAAAAATGTCCACTTCCAAAAATTGCTATAAAATGATAACAGATTCATATTTGTTTTAACTTTTTGGGGTTAAATGTTTCAATCAACTTCAGTCCTGATAAACAATACCAAATATTAATATGTTCAGGATTTTAACCCTTTAACTTCCAGTTTGAAAACATGAATTTGCAAAAAGGCAGTTATTTTCCAAAATAGATCGAGAAAATAGTCTTGTTACAAAAATCAGGCCATTTGCACCAAAACAACCAAAGTTATTGAAAAATGAAACGTGAAAAATGACCCATATGGACAAAAACGTCCACAGTGATACCGGAGGGAAAGAAAAATATATATATTTACATGTTATTGATTTAGTTTCGGATGTGTAATTAAGTAGATCATTTGTTTATATATCATTTAGAATCAGTAATATTTTTGTATATCAATTTGAAATTGCTTTATTTTGTATTGTATAATAATTCTCATGGTAGATTTTTGTATTATGGTTTTATACATTCAAAATAAATCTAATCAAATCAAATAAAAAATGTTACCTAAGAAGCATGCATAACAAAGTATTAAAGATTAAAAAAAAATCCATACACAATTCACAAAATACACGTTGGTTCATCTCATGTCACATGGTTCCTTTTGTCCAGATTGAAAAGAGTATGACGCCCCTGCGGCCGTACGAGAGGCGAGACACTCTGAAACAGTTCCTGGACCACGACCGCAAAGTCCTGCGCTTCAGCTGCTTCTGGGACGACTCTGAGAGCGTGTTCGGAGACCCCCACCAACTCATCCTGCACTACTACCTGTCCGACGACACCGTGGAGATCCTGGAGACAATCGCCCCAAACTCCGGCAGGGATAACCCCGCAAAGTTCCTCCACCGCAGCAAACTACCCAGGGTGAGGCACTGCAACACCATAAGATAAGATAACTTTTAAAATCTCCGCTAAAAACTTTGTACTGACTTTTAACACTATGCACATAACATTTTTACATTTGTATGTGTTTTTATATGTTTCTAGTTAATGTGCTTTTTATCATGTTTTTAATGATTGTTTTATTATTTCACTCCCATTGTGTTATTTTATATTATTCCCTGTAGAGCACTTTGGTCAACTGAGGTTGTCTTAAATGTGCTATATAAATAAATAAAGATTGAGATTGAGATAAGATAAGACTTTAATTATCCCGAAGGAAATGTTGTGCCAGAGTTACAAAAATACAATAAACACAGCAGCATAATAATAAAACTGTTCACCTGAGCTGAGGTTATCTGAGACTCTCAGTCTGACAGGAGAGAGTTCTCCCTCCACGTTGAAAAAGCTCCTTATATCCGTTAGCGTAGCTAGCACCAGATGCTAACCACAACGATCTCCGGTTGGCTACCGGTATGCGCACTCTCTCTCTCGCTCGCGCACGCACACAAAATTGCTCGTGCCACACACACAGAGAGCAGAGCTTGAATGAAACACAGAAGTAGGCTACTTGTACTGTACTGTAGCATATTATTTTCAAATCAATCCTTTTTCTAATTATGAATTTCACAACAAAAAAAAAGATACACATTTCTTGGGGGTGCTTAGGGGGTGCTATGGCTATCCAGGGGGGTGCTTCGGCACCCCCTAGCACCCCCCTGGCGCCGCCACTGCCCTCACATGATGTGTTGCAAAGTGTGTTTCCCAGCTTGTGCATTTATTGCATTTCATTTTAAATGTGTATTACTAATCTTAAGGCTTGCGGTGCCTCTCTTCTGGTTGGGTGCCTTTTTTGCATCTTTCTCCAAAGCATCCCTCCTCATTCAGTCTGACAGGCTGTAGCTTCCAGTCTCCCTCAAGCAGCCTGCCTTTCTCCTCCAGTTACTGACTCAATCCTAATTCATCTTGAAAGACAGCCAGGCCTCAATCATGTGTGTGTGTGTGTGTGTGTGTGTGTGTGTGTGTGTGTGTGTGTGTGTGTGTGTGTGTGTGTGTGTGTGTGTGTGTGTGCGTGTGTGTGTGTGTGTGTGTGTGTGTGTGTGTGTGTGTGTGTTCTGTGTGTGTGTGTGTTCGTTCT